ATCCTATTGTATGTCTTGTTGTTTGTTGGTTTCTTGAGAAAGGGTCTGCCTGCGTATATCAGGCTGGCCTGACACTCACTATGTGGCCCAAGTTTTTCTCAAAATCATGGTGATGCTCCTGCCTCAGCCTCCCTCCATCTGGCATAACAGTCCTATATCACCACACGCAGCCTAGGATCAGGAGTATGTGCAGCAAGACTGGGAAACATCTTAAGATCCTATCTCTAAAACTTAAATATGCTGGGTTGCAGCTCATCACCTCCTGACTTCAATCACTAGTGCTGTGGGGAGAGTCAACCTTGTCTCTTTGTAGCAACTTCCATTCAGTGTTTAGCCTCATACAGAGGAATTTTCTAGTCTTTAGACCCAATCCTCAAATTACATGGGTTCAGTTATGTGTTCGTCAGAGGGTCTTGGTAAAAACAGAGATTCACCTGTACAGTAACCTGCTCACCTCTTCTTCTTACAGGGGTCCAATAACCCTGACCTTAATCTGAGCACCTCTCACACCTTCAGTGGCTCCCCTGTGCCACCCTGCTTGCACACACTATCTGCTGTGAAATGTGACACAATCCCAGCTCACAGTTTCATACAGCTTTCTGATTTGTTCTCCTTGGGGATGACATCACTGTCTTTACACAGCTGTCATAAATTTGTTTCGTTTCTTGGTGGTGGACTTTGAACTGAATTTACAGTCTCTGCATTGATCCACATTCTCAGCATATTTTTATTTTATTTTCCAATTTTAATATTAAGTGATGGTAGTTCTGACTCATGAACTCAGAGCCTATGCTCTTAGTGCTTACTCAGCTTTATGTATTTGTTTATTTTAAGACTAGCATCACCGGGGTTTGTGACACTTACTTATAATCCAGGCACTCAGGAGGCTGAGGCAGAAAGATCACAGCAAGTTGAAGACCAGCCTGGGGTGCACAGTGAGTCCAAAGCAAAACCAAACCTCACTGTACACTGAGACTCTGCTCAAATAAGGAAAAAACAAAAAC